AAAAAAAAAAAAAAGAAAAGAAAAGCTAGATGTGGGAACTAGTGCCATAGAAGGTGTCTATATTGGAAGGAAGAAGGGAACTTAAGTCTGATGATTCAAACCAAGTTCAGATATATTTAACTTTAAGATTGTTTAAATCTCTATAATTCACACCAAACTTTGCATACAATTCCAGGGAAGAACCACACTCTCAGCTTGAGAAAACTTGAGAGAATAATGTGTGAAGCAATGTGATGTTGGCCACAGGGCAGGGGGTTCCCAGGAATGGGATCCACTTGCCAGCCCTAAAACGTAGCACACTTTTAAATAGCTTAATTGCTCCTACTTCTTCCTTTTTGCAAAATGGAATCAAAGCATTGCCGCTCAGCAAAACAAAGCTATGTATAAATACAAATAAAGCAAGCACCTAGCTTACTGGAAGCCACTGGGTGGAGATGGTATTACTGCTCTGTGAAGTAGGAAAAACAACTCCTACTTTGCATAATCAATAAGACCAGAAGGGGTAATGGAAACCAGAGCGTGCGTCACCTACAGGACTCCAGGTGCATGGCGCGGTTGTTGTAAGTCAAGTTTCCCACTTGGTGAGAAAGGGCTTGAGGAATCACTGACGGACAACTCTGACCCAATCTGCTTGCCTCTAGGACGGGAGTCCGGCACACGCAAAGGGACAGCGAGAAATATTTTTGGCCTTGTGGACCTTCCCATCAAAGGCTTGCAGTGGCCACACGACTGTGCAACTACTCACCTCTGCCCTGGCAGCGGGGAAGCAGCCACGGAGCAGACCTACAGCCAACAGGGATGCGCTCCCGTCAAACTCCCGTCAAACTTCGCTTACGGACACTCAAGTTTGATTTCACATAACTTACATCCTCTTTTCTTCCCCCAAACACTCAAAAACTTAAAAATCATTCTCGCTCCGGGCAAACACCCTGGGAGGGGAAGAGAAGGGGGACAGGTTTGGCCTCGGGCCTGGGGGAGGCAGTGAGGCTGCAGAGCCAGGGCAGGAGGGCAGGCCCAGCTCCCGGGCCCAGCGCCCCGACCCGCTCCCCGCCGCAGGCCGCGGCTGAGCCCCGGGGTGGGCCACCCTCGGGGACGCGACCAAGGACAGCCCCGCGGAGTGGCCACGCAGAAGGGTCCCTCGGCGCCCCTCACTGAAGGCGCCTTTCGGGCCTCCGCTCCAAAAGGGGTCTCCATGCTGAGTCCCAGCCCCGTTTCTATGGTTACCTGTTCAGCACCGATTCAAACTGCCGTTCTTTATTGACAGCGCCATAGAGGACACGAACACTCCTGCCCGAAGGGAACAATAAAGCTTTCGCCATTCAACAGCGCCGGAGACGCCAGAAGGCGGCCATCTTGAGGCCGGCGCGGAAAGGTAGGAGCCGGGAGGGGCGGTGCCTCCGTCCCGCCGCACCAGTCACGTGCCGGGGGCGGGTCTCGCGAGAGGCGGGGCCTGCGTCACGCGATCGCTCTCCACGAAGGCGGGCCCTGGGGCCAGCTCTGCTCCTGTTGGGACGCTGGCTGCTCCTTCCTTTCGCCACACCTTCCCGTGAAAGTTCTACAGGAGTTTTACCGCCCCTTGCTGGAGCAGTGTTAAGTGTTTGTTCCAAAGAATGGCCCTGAAATAGACACAAAAAGTTTCCTTCCATTTTTTCAAAACAACAAGTTCACGTTCAAGGCCGAACTGTGACCTGGGCCGCGTCCCCAGACGAATTCTCATTGGTGGAAAGGCTTAGTGCCGCTCGGATGCGATAGGCTAGCAGGCCTAGGGTCAACCAATCGTGGTGTTCTGCAGGCATTTTGGTCCCGCCTCTCCCTCCTAGTCTCAGGATTTAGGCGCTGGAGGCCCAAGTGCCTGTAGTACCTGTAGCCTGTCTTCCTCCCTTCCTCCCTTCCTTTCTTCTTCCCTTCCTCCCCCCTCCCCCCTCCCCCTCCCTTCTTTTTTCTTTCTTTTTTTTTTTGGTACCGGGGATTGAAGGGCACTCAACCACTGAGCCACACCCCCAGCCCTATTTTGTATTTTGTTCAGAGACAGGGTCTCACTAAGTTGCTTAGCGCCTCGCAGTTGCTTTGAACTTTGCTTTTCTTTTGTGTATTTTCCCTCTCACGAACTTCCTCACACCCTCCCTGTACGTACCCCACCGAAGCTCCCCCTCCCCACACCAGCAGTGAAGTCGCTTTCAGACATTACGGACAAATTAAAGTCCCACTGGCGCTGGGGGATGAACGCCGTCACTGCACCGCACTCGGGTCTTTCTGCGTTGACTCAGATGTCCAAATTCATTCTTACAGCTCTGACATCCACGGTGTCAATCTTCAGTCGTTTTGAGAGCTGTCACTGTCAGGCTGACTCTCACTTCATCACCGTTTTTCATCACGAGTTGGGTCTACTGGACAGAGGCGTCACTTGGAGCGTTGCTGTCATCCGGGTCCATCATAGTTACTGTCACTGTCTGATATGCAACTACTGCCAATGACCGTAAACTTCAAACGGTTCTGTTGCATATAGCTGTGTGTGCCCAGCTGTTACCCTTTCAGTTGTTTTCAGTGTCATTGTCACTCAGCTTCATTCACCGCCTCATAAGTCAAGGCAATTTTGCACAGGCCCCTACTGGTACACAGTTGTCCTTGTTACTGCCTAGTTGGTCACTTTCGTTATTATACTCACACATCACTGTCACATTTGGGGTCATGTTTACCGCAGATGACATTCAGTCAATTTTCTAGTCACTGGAACTCTGCCCACTGCTGTTGGTCTTCCAGTCCCCTATTTCCACCAAGCCCTCATTCTCCCTTATTGAAAGTCTGCAGTGTAGACCTGCTAGATTTAACAAACCAACTCCTAAATTAGTGCTTGACACATAGAAGGTGCTCCAGATATATTTGTTGAATTAGTGGTTTAAAAAAAAAAAATCAATGTTACCAATGTGCTGTATGTAAATATGGATGGCTTGAGGCTCAAGAGTCTCAAACAATAGGGGTAAGTATTAAACTCCTCAATTTTACATGGTTCTGCATCTTACAAGGATTAAAAGAATAAAGCACAAGAAAAGTGGCCACATGTACACACAATTCCTGGAACCATGGTTACAAAGAATAGGAATGGGGGGGGGCTGTTGCGCTGTGCTGGGATCAACTCAGGGCCTTGGGCATGTTAGGTAAGGCTCCACTACAGAGCTATATCCTCAGCCCCAAGAATAGGATTCTTAACGGTTGTTTTTTCTTATTATTTTAAAAGAATATATGTTTATTTTAGAACATTTAGAAAACGTGGGAGATAATCTTTCCTTCAGAGGGGTTGTTTTAGACTGAACAATGCCGTCAACCAGCACAGCCCACACATTCACAGTCAATGGTCATTGGCTGTAAATTCCCCATAACCTTTGCTTGAGATTTGGCATTACAGGTTGAGCATCATGAATCTGAAAATCCCAAATCTAGAATGTCCTAAATAGGAATCTTTTTGAACACAAACACAACACCACAAGTGGGAAATTCCACACCCAATTTCATGTGACAGGTCGCAGTCAAAATGCAGGCTCACTAAAAATATTGTATAAGATTACATTGGATCTGTGTATGCAAGGTGTGTATGAAGCATTAGTGAATTTTCTATTTGGAAATCTCATTATGTATATGCAAATATTCCAAAATCCAAAATACTTCTGGTCCCAATCATTTCAATCAAGGGATTCTCAATCTGTATTAGACATTCCTATGGGACTGACTTATCTCCAGTTCATGAAAGTAGCATAGGTGGGCTGGGGGGTAGGTCAGATGTGAGACACCTTGCCCAGCATGCCAGCTCCAGCCTCCCAAAACAACACACAAAACACTGAAGCAAACAAGGAAAAAGAAAATCAAGAAGGCTATTTGACTAGGCATGGGAGTGCAGGCCTGTGGACCCGGTTGCTTGAGAGGGTGAGGCAAGAGGATGGTTTGAGCCCAGGAGAGTTCAAGGTCAATCTAGGCAACACAGCAAGACCCTATTTCAAAAGGAGCAGCAGAGGGTCATGCAGAGCAATAGCCCTGACCTCTGGTCACCATACCATGAAAGAATAAGAAAACGATGTATGGGCCTTAAATGATGTCATTTCAGAAGAACCTTCACAGCTTTGGAAAAATAGCCTGCTTCCCAGTTGCCAGAAAGACCCAAAACTTAGCCTTGAGAGAAAGATATTTGAGGACTTTTCAACTTTTTTTTCCCTACCTTAAACAGAAAATGTTCTGAGGCCACTGTCCCACATAAGATGGCCAAGGTGGCTGCAGTTGAACACCAACCGTGGGGCTGGGCGTGTAGTTCAGTGGTGGAGCAACTCATGTTTAGTGTGCACAAGGCTCTCGGCTCGATGCCCAGCACGAAAAACAAAACAGAGCAAAAAACTACCAACTGTTTCCAGAGTGACTACTACATGCCAAGGACGCTGAGCTCCTGTTTCCTGCTGTAGTGGAACACAGCCCAGCGACCACCCTTTCTCTGGCTACGAAGAGCAATCATTGTTTATCTATCTCCCTCCTGCTCTCGGCCAGGTAGCAAGCCAAGCTCTCTATCTAGCTTATCTATTAATTCCCAGTAACCACTCAACGAAGCAGGTCACACTTAACCAAAGAGGTAACCAATTCAGAGAAGGGAAATAATGTGCTCAAAGAAACAACGATGCTCAACGGCGGCATCAGGGTTTAACCCAGGAGACCTGACTCAGAGCCTTTCAACCCAGAATACAGACTTTGGGTTTTTACAGAACGAATGTGTTCTTTGTAAGGAATTCAAGGATCATGGGAAAAATACAAAGAGAGCAAAACCAGAATCGTTGTACATCCTACCACTTAGCAGTAACCTATCATTATAGATGAGCGTTTCTCCATCTCTGGGCAGATTTATGTAAGTAGGTGGATGGAGAGATAATCATGAGAATAATGACGAATTCCATCCAGGAAGCACTATGTGCTGAACTCTCTTCTAAGCGCTTTTCATGAACTAACACATTTAATTTACTCGAAGAGAGAGATGGATAGGCATAATTTTATTAAAATGAGCTCATTTAACATATTCAGGGTTCACATCAGCAGTCAACCACCTGCTGATGTTTTTCCACCAAATCTGGTTCCTTCCTTAATTTTTCTGGCTCTTCTCCGCCTTCCAATCAAATTCTAAGCCCAGAGTCCTTGGGCTGCAAAAACTGAGTCTTTAAATAGCATCCTCTGCACAGCTGCTGCCCAGTCCAATGTCCCCGCTGGTCCCCAAGGCAGTGGTGTTATTTGTGGAAGCGAAGTTTGCTACAGACTTGACATATGCTTTTTATTTGTTGGAGTGGTGTCTGGACCTTGGCATTCTCCTTCCTGGCTTTCTAAGTGTTAGAATTTCACTATCTTTTTCTGCAGTCCAGGTCTTTAGATCTGGCCCAGTGGATAGCAGCCAGTCTCAGATGAGGATGTTGGAATTTGCCAAATGACTCAGAAAGGTCAGCCACCTGCTCATCCATCCAAGGATGACAAAAGACAAGGAGGCAGGCGGTGGCTTTCTCCAGGGGCGCTGCCCAGGCTTCCAGGTCCGGAACACTCTTGCACCCGCACCACTGATGCGTTGTGAATGAATACCTTGCCCATTTGCCCCCAAGACAAAAAGCACTCTCACATTTAGAATGCTGGAATAGACTCCTGCTGAGATGGCTCCCAGGCCTTTCATGTTCAGCAGATCTAAACCAAAGTGATGATCTTCCAGCTGCCCCGGCGCTTCTCCCCTGGGCTCTTTGGCTCAGAGAGGCCACCCCAGCTCTCCACCTGCTCAGGTCAGACACTGGGGAGTTGTCCTGGACACTTCTCTCTCTAGCCCTCAACTGTTTACCAAGTCTTGTTGATTTTACCTCTGATATACTCTGTCCATTTCCATGGCCCAAGTCCAAATGACTTTTACCTCCCCACTACCATAATATCCTCCTCCTGTAGCTTCTTTTGCAAGGATGTTGTACTTTGTCAAATGTGAATAATGTGCTGATAAATGGTTTTAATTTTTATTTATTTATTCACAATACTGGGGGTCAAACTCAGAGTGCTCTACTACTAAGCTCCATCCTCAACTCTTCTTATTTTTTATTTTGAGACAGCCTAGATTGCCTAGGCTGGCCTCAAACTTACAACCCTCTAGTCTCAGCCTCCAGAGTTGCTGGGATTACAATTGTGCACAACTGTACCTGGCAGTAATATGTTTTTAATTTCAATTTCCACTTGTTCGTTGCTGGTATATAGAAAAAGCAATTGCCTTTCTAATATTAACCTTGTATTCTGAAACCTTGCTATAACAGCCTATTAATATTAAGCCCAAGAGGGTGTGGGGTTTTTTTTGTTTTGTTAATTCCTTCTGAATTTCTGTGCATATGTTCATGTCATCAGAGAACTAAGAGTTTTATATCTTACTTCCCAAACTATATGCTCCCCTCTGTTTTTCTTGTCTCATTGCATTTGATAAGACTCCCTCCCAGTACAATGCCCACAAGCAACAGTGAAAAGAAATACCTTTTCTTTGTTCCTGATCTTAGTACAAAAGCTACGCATTTCTTGCCACTAAGTGTCGTATTAGCTACAGGTTTTGTTTTGCTTTGCTCCACAGATGTTCTTTAACATGTTGCACAAGTCCCCCCTCTATTTCTAGCTTGCTGAGGGTTTTTTCATGAATGGCTATTGGATTTTGTCAAATGGTCTTTCTGCATCTATTGATTTCATGTGTTGTTTATTCTTTTTTTTTTTTTAAGAGAGAGAGTGAGAGATGGGAGAGAGAGAGAGAGAGTGAATTTTTAATATTTATTTTTTCGTTTTTGGCGGACACAACATCTTTGTTGGTATGTGGTGCTGAGGATCGAACCCGGGCCGCATGCATGCCAGGCGAGCGCGCTACCACTTGAGCCACATCCCCAACCCATGGTTATTATTTTTATTCATCTTAGGTTTCTTTTGGTTTCATTGATGTTTCTCCTTTGACTTCCTATTTTCAATTTCATGGACTTCTGGTCTGTTTTTTTATTATTTAATTTCTTCTTCTTTTTGAAGTTTCCTAAGGTGGAACCTTAGATTATTGATTTCTAGATTTTTTCTTTATAATATGCATTTCCTTCTATATACATTTCCCTCTAAACACAGCTTTCACTGTAGCCCACAAATTTTTGATAAGTTATGTTTTTATCTTCATTAAGTTCAAAATATTTTAAAATTTCTCTAGAGATCTGTTTTTTGACTCCTGTGTTGTGTAGAAGTGTGTCCTTCACTGCCACAGGTATTTTAGAATTTTGCAGCTGTGTGGATGTTATTGGTTTCTAGTTCCATTCCATTCTAGCCAGGGACCTCCTAGAAAACTGCCTTTGGGGTACGGAGAAGAACTCTAGGGTTATGTAGGGCAAGGACAAAGCCCAGGGCCAAAGGTTTCCATAGTCAGGCGCCTTGTTTAAGCTGTGGTCTGGAGGGTCATGTCTCAGGTCTGGCTCTGTGGGGTCCTGCTGCCACCAGGCAAATGGCTATTGCTCCAGGGGACAATTTGGATCCCCCAATGAGGGATCTGCCAGGAAGGATCACTGTTCCTGGAACTTGAATAAACTGAGGAGAAATGACCCAGAGCAGGAACAGACCAGAATTGCAAAGTAGAGTCAGTCAGGTCCTTTAAATCCCGATGCTCTTTATCGGTGGGTGCACTAGAGTTATACAGAGTGACGGTGAAGCCCCAGTTTTAAAGGAGCCGCTGTTATAGTTCCGCCTTGTTTTTGCTCATTCCTCAGATCTGAGGGGCTTGGAGTGGTGACCATTCTGCCCCTTCCTGCCGAGTGGGGGCCTAGATCTGGACCAGAGGAATGAAGCTGGCACTCGCTGGGAAACCCAGGAAGGGGACAAAGCTGGGTCTTTAAACCATGGCGGAGGCATGTACAGGGAAAAGAGCCACGTGCCTGAGACTCAAAGTAGAAGTGCCATCATAGACCACGACGCAGATGGTTAAGTGACTCCACCGTCCACGGACTTCTGGGGAAAAAAACATATTTGGGATCCATGAAGAGAGTCTTTTCCTTGTCCCTCCTTAATAGAGGGCTCTTGTCGAAGCTGTGTCCTGCCTTCTGTGTGGGGTGACCACAGGGCCCTTCCTCCACCACCTCTCACTCATGTTTTCATAGAGTTAACAAAATGACTCCATTTTTAAAAATCTGACAATTTACCTGCTTGTCTCTGAATGATTTCCTCTGAAGACATTGCTTCCTGTGGTTTAGGTTCTGATCGTCCCTCATTTCTGAATTGACTTGAGTGTTGGTCTGCTCTGTCCTGCGGCTCAGGGCAGCGATACACAACCAGGAGCCATGTCCAAAACCCTTTGAGCCACATTCAAGCAACAGAGAGCCTAGGGGTGACTCTGAGGCTAAGCTCACCTGGGCCATGTCCTCTGTGGACAATGGCATCTTCTCAAAACACTGAGCCCCGTCTTTTTATTAGGAGTTGTACTCCAGCAGAATTTTGAGAGGCAGAAGTTACAAAGTTTTACAAGGAAAATACAAACCCAAACCAGCAAGAGCAAAATAAATCCAGTTTGTATAAAATGTCTGAACCAAGAAGAATGATTTTAATTATACTAGTTTTTACCAAAGATGATTTTTAAAAAAAAAAATATTGTAAAATAAATTTAATATTTCCTGAAAGCTGCATCCAAGAGAAATTGTCTTTTCCGGGAATCTGATATGCACAATGTTTTAGAGATGACTCAGAACTGTGATGAGAAAGACTTAGCCATTGTTAGAATTCTCAAGAAAGTATAGTAATTAACAAGACAACCGAGTTGCTTTCATTGTAAATAGCATTTTAAGATAAGAAGCAAAAAAAAAAAAAAAAAAAAAAAAAAAAAAAAAAAAAAAAAACGAAAAAACAAGATAAGAAGCAATGACTGACAGTATTCTACTAGAACCATCAGACTTATTAGTTTTATAAAAATCTTTGGAATATTTGTATCAATAACACATAATCACTGTAAAATAAATAGTTGTTTATTTAACCGGTCATAACCCAAACTTAACCAGACTTGTAAAGTGATTGTTTTAAAGACTAAACAAATACATGTTTAAACAAACCTTAACTCTTTTAAAAGAGTTTAACTCTTTCCTTAAATAATGAAAAACTTAATACAGACAGTTGAAAACGCAAGATATGAATTTTTAAGCCAGTTTTATGGAGTGGGTTTGTTATTGTTGTTATGGTGGGGTTTTTTTTTTTTTTGGTAAATTTTACTAGGAACAGATTAATAATTTGAGAAAATCTTATTCATTTAATCACAAAGAATTCAACTCTGGTTTTTTTTTTTATCAGTGCATTACATTTTGACCTCAGAAAACAATCCCTATAATTTTCTTTGTAACCACCTGAATTCCACATTGTTTTTCTCTTATGACATTCATCCTTCACAAAGCTGTGCATCTTGCTTCGACCTTGCTTAAACTTTTTGTTGTTTTTAGTTTTTTCCTCATTTTTCTTTTCTCCATTTCGGAACCATCTGCTCATTTTACATTAGGACAAAAATCTTATTTTAATACATAAAATCCTTTATCATCCTAAAGCATTCTCTTTTCTTAAATCTTCTCATCAATAATATCTCCATTCCTATTACTTATTACATTTCTCTTTCCCTTACTTGTTGGTTTGCTTTTGCATTTTTCTTTTCTATAATGTGCATTTTGAAACTATCCTTACAAAATTTCAGAATTTAGACAAATTACTCCTTTCTTAGATAAAATATTTCATGCTTTTTCATCATATTCTCATCAAAATACAGCTTATATTTTATATTTTCTGTTTATAGAATTACACACATTCAGGGCTGTGGTTGTGGCTCAGTGGTAGAGCACTCACCTAGCATGCATGAGGCACTGGGTTCGATCCTCAGCACCACATAAATGTAAAATAAAAATATGGTGTCCATATAAAACTTAAGAATAAATATTAAAAAAAGAATTATACACATTCATTAAAATTTTATCTATTAAACTTCCTTTTTATCGAAGACCGGGAAGAAAACAATTTTAAGTTTTTTTATATATTAGCAATTTATGAAAACATATTTAATGAACCCAAATATATATGTTGTCTTTTTATAGATTTTAAGAAGCCAGGAAGGAATATGTGAATTTATATTTAGTGATTGATGTTTCAGTGTTTTACTTACAAATGACGCAAATGTTTTATCTCATCATTTACATTTATAAACATTTATTCCATTTATATTTACCCAACGTGTTTATTTTTAACAGCTATTTCTAGATTATTTATGAAAACTGAGATGTCAAAGAAGCAAGCCATAATTTTGAGTTATTATTTTGTCAAAGAAAAATCCTAAAGTTATTGTACTTAAAACACAGAAAGCAACAGACATTGCATTTTAAACATCTTAGCGGAGATAAATATACTCCTGATTGGCTAGCAACCCAGGCAAAAACATATGCTAGCAATTTTGAAGACATGTCTATTTTTATCTTAACCAACAAATTTAAATTAACTCATTTGTCAGAGATTTACTTATGTTAAAATTCCATTCACGAGACAGAGTAATATGGTAATATAAAATTTAGCAGGTTTATAAACAGACAGTTAAATTCAAATTATATTTGTGACAAAACTAAACAAGTTAAGGTCACTTTTTATATGGCTAAAATTTGAGATTTTTACTTGAAAGTCTTAATGTAAGCCTCGAATCAAGCAGTTTACACAGAAGTCTATTTTTTTAAAGCCTCTTTTTCTTTTATTTATTTATTTATTTAATGTTTTGTGTGGTGCTGAGGACTGAGCCCAGTGCCTCTCACATACCAGGTGAGCGCTCTGCCACTGAGCCACAGTCCCAGCCCCATCCCTTTGACCTCTTTTCCTTTCTTCTCTTGTTTGGCCTCAGATGAGCCTGGGTTAGCTCAGAGGCGTCTGCATTCCAGCTGTGACTGGCTGAAACACAACTCTCCAACTAACTTCAACACAGCAGAAAGACCGGGGAAGAGCTCGAACGGAGAAACAAAGCCTTTATAGGTTAACTCTGAATTACAGCTGAAGAAATATCTGAAAGGCGATTACAACAAATATTTTAAATTAGGCAGTGCCATCAAACGAGAACATTAACCTAAGTGCGCAGAACCCAAAAAGGAGTTCACCAGAGAAAGGCCCTAAGATGTCATCCTGAGCTCAATAAAAAAGTGCAAGAGAAATTCCTGCCCCAAACAGAGAAGCCGCAGACACTCCCACCACCACTACAGCTGAGAATCTCGGGAAAGTTTACCTCGATGAGTCTGATTTAAAATGTGCCCAGTGTTCTGTCTGGGATATATTTTGTGCAAGGCTTATCCGATTGCTGAAGCAAGATCTTTTTGGTGCTCAAGAAATGTTAAGGGTTGGTAATATGCTGTTTATGGCGGTTCCTTCCCAGAGAGCCACCAGTGGGACCGGCATCCCCTTTTATGTGTCTTGGAAAATTCCAAACATCAAGGGGCATGGGGTGGCTGAATGTGTATGGAGATCTCTCCTGTAAGTTAGATGAGCTGTCAGAACTCCTTCAACCCAGGGGTGGGGGATATTCTTTTTAGGTGGCTGATTATGAGCCAGTCACATCGTTGGTAAGTTACCCTGATACCTCCATCAAGACCCTAGTCACCTAGGGGTACCCAGTCTGGACAAGAGGGAATATTTGTCACTTTTCCTCAGAGTCCATGGAACTTCACATGGATACATTTCTCATAGGCCTGTTGCTGCAGCCATCGAATCCCTAAGTTTCATCACAAAGTGATCAGTGACCACTGTGATCATCATCACAAAGTGATGACCAGAGTGACACAAGAAATCATAGAACAATTACACTAAAGCAAAGTGCACCTTCAGATATGTAGACCATGCTATATAATAAATATAAATATCCTTATCTTAGGGGTAGGTTTATAACTGTAGGTAGACCAGTTAGCCAACATTTTTTGGGGGAGAGCTCAAAGTTAGAACTAGTACTTTCCATTCTTGTGCAAATTAAAACAAAGATCTTCCAAACACTCTGGTTTCTCTGTACACCTCATGTCTCTTCTCTGCAAATTGGAGCCACAAATTTGGTATCTCAAAAGAGTCCAAACAATATGAAGAAGGAAGGCAAGACCCAACGTGTGCTGTTGGAGAGAACTTACCAGAAGTCTAACTTTAGGGCTCACAGATTCTAAAAGTTGGTTTCTCTGTTTCACCAAAAAAACAGTAAGAGCAGCGGATGCTGATCCAGTTTGGAAGGAAAAGGGAGGCATCAAAACAAAGATGTTTTGGCAGCTACACGGGACTGTCTTATCTGCCCTCCTCATCCAAGGTTGGCTAGCTACAGGTAACCACCCATTTATGGGCATGGTTCGCGGCAGGTTCACCAAAACTATTACCAGAGTCCTAGACCAGAGGCCTGACACAGGATCCCAACAGACCAGATTTGGCCACCCACCCACCACCTCCAGAGTATAATCGGAGATGAGCTGTGGCAGAGAGGGAAGGAATTTATTTAGTATGGCCATAGCAGGCAGAAAGGTCTGGCAAGCAACCTTCTAGAGAACATCTCTGGGGTCTTGACAATACCTCTAGGACTCCAGGAGGAAGGACAAAATGGCGTGGAGGGGCACCAGGAGGTCTGTATGCACAGCCCGCAGCCTTGTCAAGCTACGGTCTGTTGATGACCATCTCAGATCTGCTCCTTCAGGGTTCTGGGAAGCAGTGTTGCCTGAAGGGGACAACTTGATTTCCCCAGGGAGGCGATCTGGGGGATCACTCATTCCAGAACTTTACTCCCGTTAGGAGAAGTGACTCAGAGCTGCAAACTGGAGTCAGGCAGGACAATGGCTGGGTCCTCTTTAAATCCCCAATTCTAAAGGAAACACAACGACAAGCAGGCGTGGTGTAGGTTCTATGCTTTTTAAACAATGAATGTGTGGTTTTGGCCCAGACTGTGGTCTCTCTTGGTGAGTGTTCTGTGTGAACCTGGGGAGACTGTGTCACCTGTCGTTGAATGAGTAGTCTGTGTGTGTCCCTCTAGCCCCTGAATTATTAGAGCAGCTGAGTTGCTTTCAGGCCCGCTGGATCTATTTCTGAAGTCTCCCACTAGAATAGTGGGTTCATCTGTATCTTCTTGTGATTACGTCAACCTTGCCTCACATATTTTGGTGCTCTGTTATTAAGTACTTGCCGACTAAGCACCATTATGTCTCCTTGAAGTACTGACCCCTCTGTCATTATGTAATGCCCCTCAAAACTCATACATTTCCTTGCTCTGAAGTCCTGTCTGAAATTAAGAAAGTCGTTCCTGGTTCGGTTTGGTGAGGGTTAGCGTGGCGTATCTTTCTCCAGCCTTTATTTTTATTATTCATTTGTTTGCTGATGGGTTGATTGATTGATTGCAGTGCTGGGGATTAAGCCCAGGGCCTCCAGCTATGATTCCCATTACACTTTTACACCTTTTGTGGTTGAATAATTCTAGAATATTCTGTTTTCCTCATCTGTTTTTCTAATTGATACATACTTAAGCTTATAGATTCTTTCCTCAACATGGCTGTTCTACTAATAAGCCATCAATGACATTCTTTATTTCTATCACCATGTTTTTTTTTTTTTAATCTCTAACATTTCTTTTGGAAGTTTTCTTAGAACTTCCACCTCTTTG